AAAAAAAAAAAAACAAAATAAAAATAAATAAATAAAAGCCAATAAAGGCCAGGGCAGTGGCCTGTAATCCTAGCACTCTTAGGAGGCCAAGGCTCCTAAGGATCACTTGAGCTCAGGAGTTCAAGACTAGCCTGAGCAAGAGTGAGATCCCATGTCTACAAAAAAATAGAAGAATTAGCGGGCTTGGCAGCACACACCTCCTGAAGTAGGAAGATCACGTGAGCCCAGGACTTTCAGGTTGCAGTGACCTATGATGATACTATTCATTGTATTATAGCCTGGGTACAAAGCAAGATTCTGGGGATGAGAGGGGAAAGAGAAAGGGGACAGGGAGAAGAGGGAAAGGGAAGGGAAGAACAAAGGAAAAGAAAGTGTCTAGAAATCGAAAGTAAAGACACCTGACCAAGTTGGTAGCTTAATCATTGGAGGGAAATTTTTTCAAGTGACTCTAAAATGCAGGCATTTGATTGCATACCTGTAATGGGATTATCCTAAGAACAAAAAAATCCACAGAATATTTTAAATGGCTTTTAAATTTTAAGTCTGGGTTGGGCAGTGCCTGTGGCTCAGTGAGTAGGGTGCTGGCCCCATATACTGAGGGTGGAGGATTTGAACCCAGCAACAAAAAAATAGCAGGGTGTTGTGGCAGGCACCTGTAATCCTAGGTACTCGGGAGGCTGAGGCAAGAGAATCGCCTAAGTCCAAGAGCTGGAGGTTGCTGTGAGCTGTGGTGCTGTGGCACTCTACTCAGGGTGACAAAGTCAGTCTCTGTCTCAAACAAAAAAAAAAAAAAGAAGAAGAAGAAGAAATTTTAAGGCTAGGTGAAGTGGCTCATGCCAGTAACCCTGGCTCTTTGGGAAACTAAATTGGGAAGACTGCTTGAGGCCAGGAATACAAGACCATCCTGAACAACATAGTAAGACATTGTCCCTACCAAAGAAAACCCTTTAAAATCATATTTTAAATAATATTTATGTATTTTGAACCAATATTGTTATTTTGAAACTACAGGGAAAAGGGAAAAATAGAAAAGAGAAGAGCCTAAACTCACAAGGGCAAAGAGAACAGGAAAGACCATAACCACAAATCTTTGGAAGCCAGAAAGCTGATGAACAAGCAGATAGTGTCTCTCTACAGCCAGCTGAAAAGCCCAGGAGTAAAACCATTCACACCACAGCAGGACCAGAAACCAGCAGCACGAGACACCTTTCAAGAGTAGCAAGAATGGTAGGACTTAAGAGCAGGAAAGTTTGAAAGATAGAAGCAGCTAGAATATAATCAATTTTAGTGTCTTATACTCAGGATTTTTGCTAAATGAATAGATGATAGCTACTCATGCCACTGGGGGGAAAATAAGCATATGAGTTAATGACTATGTTAACATGTTTTACTATTAATGGTAACCATTTACAGTAACCATTTACTGTACACAGATGCTCCTCAACTCACGATGGGGTTACATCCTGAGATCCCCTTGTAACTGAAAATGCATTTAACATACCAAACATCAGGAGTTGAACCTGGACTACCTCAAATGTGCTCTCAACACTTAGACTAGCCTGTAACTAGGCACAATCATCAACTCCAAGCCTATTGTGTAACAAAGCCCTGCACACCTCTTGTAATGAAGAGGTAGGTTACCCTTGTCACCACCAGGCTGACAGGGAGACGCAGAGAGTATCATACTGCATATTGCTAGGCTAGAAAAAGATCAAAATTCAAAGTATGGTTTCTACTGAATGTATATCAATTTCACATCATCATAAAGTCAAAAAATTGTATGTTGGGAACTGTCTCATGTATATTTCATAACCCTATGTTATATACTTTAAATATACACAATAAAATTTATTTAAAAAAATACAGGCCAGGTGTGGTGGCTCATGCCTGTAATCCTAACAATCTAGGAGGCCAAAGTGGGAGAATCACTTGACCTCAGGAGTTTGAGATCAGCCTGAGCAAGACCCAGACGCCCTTCTCTACTAAAAACAGTAAATATATCAGCTATGTGTTGCGGCAGGTGCCTGTAGTCCCAGCTACTTAGGAGGCTGAGGCTAGAGGATCACCTGAGCCCAGAAGTTTGAGGTTGCTGTGAGCTATTAATGACACCAATGTACTCTAGCCAGGTTGACAGAGCCAGGCACAGTGGCTCACGCCTGTAATCCTAGCACTCTGGGAGGCCAAGGCAGGTAGATTGCTTAAGTTCACAAGTTTGAGACCAGCCTGAGCCAGAGTAAGACTCCGTCTATGAAAACAGCTAGGTGTTGTGGGGGGACGCCTATAGTTCCAGCTACTGAGGAGGCTGAGGCAAGAGAATTGTTTAAGCCCAAGAGTTTGAGGTTGCTGAGTTATGATGCCACAGCACTCTACCAAGGGTGACAAAAATTAAATAAATAAAACTGGAAAGCTCTATATGTGGGTCTCAAGCCCATTGGGTGATATGGCTAGAACACTGCTTTGGACTATTTCCTTTTTGGAGGTTACTCAGTTTCTCCAAAAAGACTTATCCTGTCTTCTATCTAAAAGAGTATAAACCCGGCTTGGTGCTAGGGCGCCAGACATATATACCTGGGCTGGCGGGTATGAACCCAGCCCGGGTATGCCAAACAACAATGGCAACTACACTAACACACACAAAAAAGCCGGGTGTTGTGGCAGGTGCCTGTAGTCCCAGCTACTTGGGAGGCTGAGGCAAGAGAATCGCTTAAACCCAAGAGTTTGAGGTTGCTGTAAGCTGTGACACCACTGCACTCTACTGAGGGTGACATAGTGAGACTCTGTCTCAAAAAAAAAAAAGTATAAACCTGTAGTTATTTGGGGTAGCAAAATGGGGGAAGAAGTATGGAGGTCTCAATAGTCAGTACCTTTTCTCAGTATAGTACCTTTGTCTTTAGTTCTTCCTAATGTTCTACAGTCCAGAGACCCTCCGGTGTTTTCTGTTTTATTTTGTTTTTGTTTTGAGAGAGGGTTTACTCTGTCATCCAGGTGCAGTGGTGTGATCATAGCTTGCTGTAACCTCAATTTTCTGGGCTCAAGGGATCTTCCTGTCTCAACTTCCTGAGTAGCTAGGGCTACGGACATGTGTTATCACCACATCCAGCTAACTTTTAAACACTTTTTGTAGAAACGGGATCTCACTATGTTGCCCATGCCCAGTCTCAAGTGGTCCTCCCACCTCAGCCTCCCAAAGTGCTAAGATTTCAGGCACAAACCACCACACCCAGCCCAGACACACTCTGTTTTATTACTCTGTTCCAAATACATAAATGTCCATCAGTCTTTTGTTGGAGTGGAGGTTGGAGAATGCCTGTTTGCATAGGGTTGGGGAAAGGATATGAAATTCTAACAGTTTCTTTTTTAAAAAAGTTCCTTTTTTATTTTTACAAACAGAGTCTACTCTGTCACCCAGGCTAGAGTGCCAAGGCATCAGTCTAGCTGACAGCAACCTCAAACTCTTGGGCTCAAGTGATCCTCCTTCCTCAGCCTCCCAAGTAGCTGGATTACCGGCACCCACCAGGATGCCTGGCTCATTTTTCTATTTTTAGTAGAGACAGGGGTGGGGTTGGGGGGTTGTAGATGTCTGGTTTTGGCTCAGGCTGGTCTCAAACTCCTGAGCTCAAGTTATCCCCCCACCTCAGCCTCTCAGTGTACTAGGATTATAAGCATGAGACACCTCACCCAAACCAAATTCTCCATCCTTAATAATGATTACATAACAAAATATTGAATCTTAAAATAAAAATAACAATACTTAGGGCTCAGTGCCTGTTGCAAAGTGGTTCGGGGCCATCCACACAATCCAAGGCTGGTGGGTTTGAACCCAGCCCAGGCCAGCTAAACAGTGCCAAATGTCACAAAAAACAGCCGGGCATTGTGGTGGGCACCTGTAGTCCTAGCTAGTTGGGAGGCTGAGGCAAGAGACTTGCTTAAGCCCAAGAGTTTGAAGTTGCTGTCAGCTGGGATGCCATAGCACTCTACTGAAGGTGACATGGTGAAACTCCGTTTCAAAAAAAAACCCAATACTTAGAAAAAGAACTTCTGGAAATTTAAAACACGAGAGTATAAATGAAAAAACAAAATAGTCAGGAGGAACCATTAAGGCAATTTCCCTAGAAGTACAACAATAAGACAAAAAGATGAAAAATCAGACAAAGAAAGGTAAGAAAATCAGGAGGGCATTCAGGTATTTGTTATATAAAATGCAAAATGGTATTTGTACAAAATACCACTACTATAATAGTAATATATATTACTTTAAAACTATATAGATGTTTTAAATGTCTTATATTTCACAATAACCAATTTTTAATAATTAAGAAGGGTGTGGTCTACTCTAACAAATGCTGTAGACACATCAAGACGATGAGGACTGAGAACTGATGCCTGAGAGCTGGCAACACAAAAAAATACTTTTGAAAAAAATTTTTTTTTAATTTTTGTTTTTTTTAGAGACAGACTCTTACTTTGTTGCCCTCGGTAGAGTGCTATGATGTCACAGCTCACAGCAACCTCCAGTTCTTGGGCTTAGGCGATTCTCTTGCCTCAGCCTCCCGAGTAGCTGGGACTACAGGCATCCACCACAATGCCCGGCTACTTTTTTTGGTTGCAGTTTGGCCGGGGCCGAGTTCAAATCCGCCACCCTCGGTATATGGGGCTGGTGCCCTACCCACTGAGCCACAAGTACTGCCCTCACTTTGAAAAATTTATATGACCACAAAAAGCATAACTAGAATAAAATTAAAAATATGAATGCTCTTTATGTATGAAAGTATAAAAATGTATCAAAATAAATTAGACATTAGACAACTTACTACTGTAAAGATCCTTACCATCCCTAAATAGAATCAATGTAATTCCACTAACCCAATGTGGTTTTCATAAAATTGGTCAAGCTGAAATTAATTGAATGTGGAGGGTAAAGGGCCAAACATAGACAGGTAATTTTGAAGATTACTAGAACGTTCTGTGACCATCCTCCCCATCCCTGACCATACACATATAGTTTGGGGATGTTTGCCACATCCCTGACACACATAAAGTTTTACATTATCATACTATGGACAAATAGAACAGAATAGAGAATCTTTTTTTTTTTTTTAGACGGAGCCTCAAGCTGTCCCCCTGGGTAGAGTGCCATGGCATCACAACTCACAGCAACCTCCAACTCCTGGGCTCAAGTGAGTCTCCTGCCTCAGCCTCCCAAGTAGCTGGGACTATAGGCGCCCGCCACAACGCCTGGCCATTTTTTGGTTGCAGCCAGCATTGTTGTTTGGCGGGCCGGGCTGGGGATTTGAACCCGCCACCTTAGGTGTATGGGGCTGGTGCCTTAGCCACTTGAGCCACAGGCGCTGAGCCCAGAATAGAGAATCTTAAAAGAAATAGACCCATGGAACAGAATACAGAATCTTAAAAGAAACTCAACCCTCTATTTAAACCTGGTATGACAAACCTGGCATTGTGTACCAGTGGCAATAAGAAAATATTTAATAACACTGGGATACCTGAAAGATCTTCAGATGAATTCTAGGTAAAGCTAAATGTGGAAAAAACTAAAAATTTAAGAAGTCTATTATAATACATTTTGAATACTGAAAAGGCAGAAATAATCCAAGTATAAATCAGTAAGGAAATAGATAAATTGTGCTATACTTGTACTATAAAATTCAATTATTAAAATGAGGTAGATGGGCAGCACGTGTGCTCAGTAGGTAGGGTGCCAGCTCCATATACCAAAGGTGGTGGGTTTGAACCCGGCCCCCAAACTACAACAAAAAAATAGCCGGGCATTGTGGCAGGCGCCGTAGTCCCAGCTACTCCGGAGGATGAGGCAAGAGAATCGCCTAAGTCCAAGAGTTTGAGGTTGCTGTGAGCCATTAAAAAAATAAATAACGTGTTACTTAGTTCAATGTAAGAATTTCACATTGTGTATCAAAGGAGTCTCCTGAACCCCATAAATGCATCAATGTACAAAGTTATGATTTAATAAAAAATAAATAAAATGAGGTAGATACATAACCAGATACGCACCTAGATCATAATATATAAAGACAGGAATAGGAAATCAAAGTACGGAAGTAAACACTCTCTGTACCATTTACTCACACAAGTTGAGACCCCTTATCCAAACTGTCTAGAACCTTAAGTGTTTCAGATTTCAATTTTTTTCAATTTTGAAATATTTACATTATATTGAGCATTCCAGATCCAAAAATCCAAAATCTGCACATCATGTTTCAGATTTTGGAGCATTTTGGGTTCTGGGTTTTTCAGTTTGGGATGTTCAACCTATTAACTGTTAAGATACAAAAATAATATATGTTATGTATGAATGCGTAATATGTAGAAGTATCAAAATATCTGCAGAAAGAAAATACCTCTGGCAAGAGTAGAAAGAAAAAAGGGAATACTTCAGGTGTCCTGCAATATTTTAAAAAACATCTAAAACAAATACGGCAAAATGGTAGGTGACCTGAGTGTACCCCCTAGAGTACAACTCCCAACGCGTGGAGGGTGACTTGAGTATCTGCTGTATTGTTTTCTGTTTCAAACATTTCATGATTTTAATTTTAAATGTTTTAATTTCTTTAAAAAAGAAAATGAAAGCACTGTACTAAATGATTTTTAAAGGTAATTCCTGGTTCTCATAATACTACTAATTATAAACTGCCCCAACACTGCTGTAGACCATGTTTTCTCCTCCCCAGCCAATAAATCCGTAAGTCTGTGCAGTCTGGGGACTATGGCCATGTGACAGGGAGCAGCACGTGAGTGCCTGTTAAGTAAGAGTCACACACAACTGAACAGACTTCCTGAGACGAGCACCTCCTACGAAGTCAACATTTGCTATTATTTAACTATTCTGTTCTTCCTTTTCTGCCACTGCAAATACAGTATGCTATATATTTAAAAATAACGAAAGTTAAAAAAACTTCTAGGTTTTCTAATCCTATTCCATGATGGCTAAACCATGGTTCCCTCTTTTTCTTAATTAACTATCATGTGAGTTGTAAGTAATTTATGCTAGTTTGGGGCCCAGTCCTCATGAGGCATATATAACTCACACATCTTTTGACCTGTCTTGACCTAAAAAAACAACATGGCCCCAAGGAAAAAACTTTTTTCTAGTCTGGCAATCACTGTGTTAATAGTTTACCTAATTTCTCTTTTTTGCAGGAATTCTGTATCCTTCACTATTGCAAAGTATACAGATTATATTTACTTAACTTGGATTCTAGTTCTCTTATTAAAGTTCTTCCTGGCTCGGCGCCTGTGGCTCAAGTGGCTAAGGCACCAGCCACATACACCTAAGGTGGCAGGTTCAAATCTAGCCTGGGCCTGCCAAACAACAATGACAGATGCAACCAAAAAATAGCCAGGCGTTGTGGCGGGTGCCTGTGGTCCCAGCTACTTGGGAGGCTGAGGCAGGAGACTCACTTGAGCCCAGGAGTTGGAGGTTGCTATGAGCTGTGATATCCAGGGGGATAGCTTGAGGCTCTGTCTCAAAAAAAAAAAAAAAGTTCTTCCTATATATTTACGAAGCTCATTCCTGAACTTATGAAAGTATTTTCTGAAAGACACCAAATTGTTTTATTTTATTTATTTTTGCAGCTTTGGCTGGGGCCGGGATTGAACGTGCCACCTCCAGTGTATGGAGCCAGCGCCCTACTCCTGGAGCCACAGATACTGCCCAACACCAGATTGTTTTAAAGATTCCTTTGACTCTTATACGTTTTTTCCCAAATGAGTTCTTCCTTTAATTCCTTCCTTGATTTCATGCATTCTGCTCATTTTTCAATTTCTTGCTATTTGGATACAAACAGAGTCTGAGATCATTTCCTATAAAATTTTCATGTACCTTCTGAATTCAAACTTTATAAAAGATGACTGAGAAGATTTTGGAAAAGTAGGTATACAATTCCAAAAATTCAAGCAACTAAATAAAATCCCCATTTGAAAAGGTGTCCTACACAAGGAAGTGTGAGATAAAGGTAAAAAAAAATACTAGTTTAATAAGTTAAATATAATGTGTACAAGCAGAAAAGATTCTCACATGAGTGGTCTGACGAGATGTTGTGTGGAACCAAAACAAAGTCATCCGTGTCACAAGAAGAGTTCTTGCTACTAGTACTGGCAGAATCTTTGGACACTTGTAGATAGTTGGGAGGACCCAATGGTGGGGAAGATAAGTTTTCTTCCTGAATATGCTGCATATCTGGAAGGGACTAAAATTAACAACATAAAATTAAAACTGGCCTAATAACCAAATGCAAGTCAGAACAGCCATTACACTAAGGAATCTTTTTTAATAAAAGTGGCATAAAGTCTAATCCCATCTAAGATTTCAAAAAAAATCTTTTGAAAATATCTTCAGAAAAGCACAGTTTAAAAGTGTTTACAGAAAGAATTCTCAAATATTTTCCAAAACTGATACTTAAAAATTGGCCAGGTACAGTGCCTCATGCCTGTAATCCTAAGACTTTGAGAGGCTGAGGCAGGAGGATCACTTGAGGCCAGGAGTTCAACACTAACCTGGGCAACATAGTGAGACCCTGTCTTTATAAAAATACGTATCATACCACTTATCACAATACTTATCTGACTCTCCTAAAGTTTTTGAGAAGGTGAGTTTTTATCATTGCAAAATCCTCAGACTCAGCTATGTCCTTGCAAAGCAGATACTCAATAACCGACTAAACATAAAAAGTCCAGGGACTTTAAATTAATGACATCTTGCAAACACAGAAAAGTTTTAAATCTAAAATAAAGTAAACACTACAAACAGGAAAGCAGAGACCAACTGTGTAAAAGAGCAGACATTCAATAAGAGTAACTTTACTGAAGTCTAAATTTACACTCACAGAAAGAAAGATTGGGAAAACCTTGGAGATGTGGGTATGTTCCTTTTGTGTTATTGGGGGAGGAACTGGTTTGTCAGTAGGAGATAAGACAGGGAGAGGAAAAAACCATATTTAGATACGTAAAGATAAAACCAGTTACATCTCTTTTGGCATTTGCCTAGTTCAAGGACTCTAGTGACAACTCTAATTGAATGTCTTGATTATACAATGGTTTTCTAAAACAAGGAACATAACTTATTAAGCCTCACTACCCTGTTTAATCTTTGCTTTTATTTAAGAAAATGAAAAATAGGCAGTGCCCGTAGCTCAGTGGGTAAGGGCACTGGCCACATACACCAAGGCTGGTGGGTTTGAACTTAGCTTTGACTAGTTAAAACAACAAAGACAACTGCAACAACAACAAAAAATAGCTGGGTGTTGTGGTGGGCACCTGTAGTCCCAGCTACTTGGGAGGCTGAGGCAAGAGAATCGCTTAAGCCCAAGAGTTAGAGGTTGCTATGAGCTGTGACACCACGGTATTCTACCCCGGACAACTGAGACAGGATAAAAAAAAAAAAGTAAAAAGAAAAGGACAAATAGTACATTGCGTTCTTTAAAGGCATCCTTAAATACCACTTCACTACTGCTGCTTCTCTGAGCATCACTGTGCAATGGTATCAGTCACTGACGTCACTTTTGTGTGTAACACACAATCTCCTTATCGTTTTTTGAAGACTTTATATCTCAAGGTAATGAACGGAAGGGAAGATGGAAGAAATAATCCTACTAAGCATCAACCATGGGCTCAATGTTCATGGCACTGTTAAGAGCTTTCCTCGTATCCTCTAACTTCAGCCCTACTAGGAACTCTCTTTCACATTTAAATAAACAAAACTCAGACAGGCGATTTGCCCAAGATCACACAATAAAAACACAGTGTCTGCCTGCACGGGAACTTTCCCAATTTCTCCCCCTGCATCTGCAACCACCTGGTGCTCCTCTCCCACGGGGTGAAGGAGAAGCTGCTCTTCCACTGAGAGCCCGTCTCTCCCCTGCACTCTGCTGTCCACTCTCCCCCACGTCCTCCAGGACCTGCAGCAACTCCCCCCTCCTGACATTTTCACCGTCTCCCTTTATTCTGGTACTTTGTCCTCTCTGCAGATAAACATGTTTAATTTTCTCACATCTCTAATTCCTACAACTCATCTCTTCACTTCTTAACAATGTTTCTTGAAATTATCTATCGTCACTGACTCAAACTCCTCACCTTTTATATATCCTTAATCTCCCATGATTCACTCTCTACCCTCAACCCTCTGATAAAACTGCCTTCATTAAGATTACCAATAACATATTTCCAAATACAGGATATAGTTCTGCGGTTCCTTAAGGTACTTGAATTCTCTGTTGCATCTGCACTGTGGACCATTCTTTCCCTGGCAATCTCCCCCTTCAGCAGTGACCCCACTCTCTCTTGTCTTTTCTCCTACTTTGTGGGGACTCTTTCTTAGGCTCTTTTGTGAGTACATCTCATCTGCTACTTGGATGAGGGGGTAAGAATTCCCCAAGGTGCCCCATGGCCCTTCCACTCCTAACTTTTCATCCTTACCCTAGTGACAACTCTTACCCTTCTACCTTTGACTCCCAAATTTTTACCTCCAGCCTAGATTGTCTCTAATGAGCTACAGATCACTAAGTTCACTTGCCTATAGAACATGTCCATGCCTGTACATTAATTCATCACCTCTTATACCCCAAAGCACTGGTTCCCATCTTCCCTGAGTGACCTTATCAGCACTGAGGGATGCTGAGGGGACCCACTTAAGGCCTCCTCTGCCTTAAGTCCCAAGTTCAAACAATCTCCATGATCTGTGAGCCTTTTGTTTTTCTCTTCCCTGGCCCCTCTTCTCCTGTTCTGCCATCTTACTTCAAGCCCTTATTCTCAAAATAATGACGACAATGATGATGAATACAAGCTGTACTTTCTCACTCTCTTGCTCCATTCTAGTCCTCCATCCAAGTTTTGGAAGAAATTAGCTTAAACAGTAGCTATCACTCTTCCATTTAAAATCATTCATATTGCTCACCACAGCTTTTAAGATGCATCTGAAACTCCTTTGCTCAGCACCCAAATCCTGTCACAATACAGCCTCTGCCTCCCTCTCTAGTTCTGTCTTCCCCCTCACCATCTTGCCAATGCTCTCCACATCCACCAAGGGAACTGCTTAGAGCAGCCTCATCCATGCTACCACAATAGAAAAGTTCCATGGGCTGGGCGTGCTGGCTCAGACTTGTAATCCTAGCATGCTGGGTGGCTGAGGCGGGTAGAATACTTGAGCTCAGGAGTTCGAAACCAGACTGAGCAAGACTGAGATTCCATCTCTACTACAAATAGAAAAACTAGCCAGTGTTGTGGCAGGCGCCTGTAGTCCCTGCTACTCAGGAGGCTGAGGCAAGAGGATTGCTTAAGCCCAAGAGTTTGAGGTTGCTGTGAGCTATGATGCCACAGCACTCTACTGAGGGTGACAAAGCAAGACTCTGCCTCAAAAAAAAAAAATTATCCTCTAAATAAAATTTAACCTATAGTCAGTATTATAACCACAAAGAGTGATTTGGAGATTTTCTTGTTCATAATTTTTGGGTTTTTTTTTTTTACCTTCAAAGATTTTTCTGAAATAAAGTAGCAGCTAGATATGAGAGCATAAAAAAGAACTGCATGCTTATGTGCATTAACCCTCAGCATCAGAGTCTATGCCAGTCTGAGGGGAGGATGCCATGTATAAAATCATCTTATTTTGGAAGATTATTTTAAATAACAAGGTCTATCAAACTATCTCATTTTCTAATCCCAGCCAATGGAAATTATACACAAATGTTCCTGCTTTCCTTTTCATTTTCACTTCAAGTATTATCCTTTAATAAAAGCTTCCTACAAACAGTCATCCTACTGAGTCTTCAACAACTAAGTCTGTCCCCTCTGCCACTGCTGCTCCTCACTGTCCACTCTGCTCTTCCCAGGCAGCCGGAGCCCAGCTATTTTCTTCTCCCCTTTCAACCAACAAAACCCCCCAAAGAGCTACTGAGTCCCAGCAAATCTGCAGTCTAGCGTCCCCCTGCTGGCTCCTCTTTCTCACCCCTCAGTCACTCTGCCGACTCACAGGCTCCTTTAGGCTTGCTCTCCTGCGTTTAGATTCCTCCCTGCTACTCCTTTCTCGGGCACAAGCTTCTCTTTCCATATGATGTATAATACTGAGTTAAATATATACTTCATAAAAACAGCTGCAATTTTACTGAGTATTTACTATGGCCAGGCACTTCCACATATTATTACCCCACCACCCTGTAAGCAAAGGTTCATCAGGCCTGTCTCCCACGGTCCAGCTCGTCAACTGACCCTTTCTCTCAGTAAGCAATAGGACCAGGACTGATGCCAGTCTGTCTAGCTTTTAATTTTTTTTTTTTTTAATTCATGGGAACCCAACATAAGTCTTACTAATACAGTTACTTTATCTGTTTGGTTTGAGTTTGCAGGGTTGTTCAACAGAGGCTTGTCTTTTTTTTTTTTTTTTGGCTGGTTCTGAGACTTTGTCTGCAATAGGTGGTTTCCACATCTACTTTAACTATGGGCTATCAGATTTCCCTGGAAAATAATACAGTTGCCACTGTCTGAGTAGTTACTGTGTGCCAGGCACTATAGGTAGTGCTTGGGCTCACTTATCCTTCCCATGAAGCAGGTAAATTATACTCACTTTACATATAAGGGTTCAAAGAGACTAAGTCGGGTGGCACCTATGGTTCAGTAGGTAGGGCACTGGCCCCATATACTGAGGGTGGCAGGTTCAAACCCAGCCGCAGCCAAACTGCAACAAAAAATAGCCCAGCGTTGTGGTGGGTGCCTGTGGTCCCCACTACTAGGGAGGCTGAGGCAAGAGAATCGCCTAAGCCCAGGAACTGGAGGTTGCTCTGAGCTGTGATGCCACAGCACTCTACCAAGGGCCACAAAGTAAGACCCAGTCTTCAAAAAAAAAAAAAA